AAGATTTGGCTAGTGTGCTGGAGCTTTGAATTGTCCAGTTGGTTAGCTGATGAATTTATGATTTGTCCCCCCCCCCCCTCCCAAGATCACTGTTGTTAGATTGTAATAATTGAAGTTTTGACTTTACTTAATGTAGTTGCATATCATAAATGTTTGTTGATAGAATACAACAAATGACCTTAGAGTTCCATTATGAATAAGTTTTAAACTAACAGGTTCGACTAACAGTATTCCTTTAATCTTCTTTCAGAAACTGTCAACAGGTTGTCCAGGCATCAGTTGGTTAGTGGAGCTCTGAAGCTGTATTTACACCACTGCACTAATTCTACTTTAATATGTGTGAATTCAGCAGCCTGCTGATAATATTTCAGCTTACTGAAGACTTCATAGTAGCTTTTGAAGACTTCTTTTGGTTGCGGTTTTGTTGACACACGTGTTCACCAGACGTGGTTGTCTTATGGTGGCCTGTTAACTGGAATGGATGTGTCACATGGTAAGATTGACCTCTCTTTAGAAGATAATTTGAGGTAGAGAAAATATAGACCTGGAAAATGAGGTGCATTGAATTGGGAGTGGAGCGGAAATATAGACGAGAAACCTGAATGCCAGCTCTGTTGGTGCTGCGCCTCATTATAAACTTCCTATAATGAAGTGAAGGCTAACCAGAACAGACTGGAGTCTATGATATGGTATGTGGAGTGTTAAACAGAGTCATGTGTTGGGGATTGATAAGTATCATGCTTTCGGTATATTTGGTCCAGGTTGGGCACACATGGGTAGTTCCCTATCAGATTTCAAGTGCTTAAAAAATTAATTGCCGTAGCCCTGTGTGTTCATGTACATCTGGTCAGAAAGGCATAAATATGGAAACCTAAGCTTGGATTCAATTTCACATTCCATTTCTACTGGTATTGGATATATCTAGGGAATGCACATGGTCAAAGGAGTAAATAAAATTCAGCACATACCATGTTTGGATATAATAATCAATGTGAATCTCAAGTGCTTTTGTTTTGATTACTTTTTTTTTTTTTTTATACGTTTTGATCTGCAGAAAATCAGTTAAAAAAAGTAAAATTAGCTTTTTAAAAAAGTGTCTGAATTAGTTTTCAGTTTTCCTATTTGCTTTGTTTTATTGCACCATTTTCCACAGATGTTGAAGATGCTTGTGTTTGTAATATTAGAAGCACTGAGAGGTGTTTTTGTCCCTCAGGAGACTCTCTCTCTCTCTCTCTCTCTCTCTCTCTCTCTCTCTCTCTCTCTCTCTCTCTCTCTCTCTCTCATCTTCTTTGAACGAGACAGAGAAAGGGCCCAGAAACTAGTCTCAGAGTACATACTCATGGCGACAGTGGTTTTTTCGCCTGTTCCATCTGCTGCAGATGGTATCAGTTACGACTGGGGGGAAAAAAAAGGGGGAAATACCCAAACGCAATCAAAATGTAATTAGAGTTAAAGAAAATATAAATAAAAAAAAAACAGTTAACAAAAAACATGTAGTCTGTTCCCTGAAGGTGGATAAACATAAGGGTAGAAGCCAAAAAGTAGCATGTTTTCTTACTGACCCAAATGCTCATAAAGTTACTTGCAGGCAGGCAAAAAACACAGTTAAACTTCTGATTCATCTCCTCAGTTTAGCATTATATTCACACGTTCGTTCATTCATTTAGCATCTGAAGAGCACGACAGCGTTTCCCGCAAACTCTGCCTGCAATGGTATTGTTGCAATGAGAACCGGAAAGCTGCAGTGAAACTAATGTTTTTGAGGATAAAAGTGGCATTGTTGGAGGACAGATGCTTCTCTCTTGTAAAAACCTGGGAAGCCATTTGTGTTTCGCATGGCTGCAGTAAACCCCCTCTAACCCAGCTCAGTCTGATGTTAATTAGTTCATAAATTAAAGACATTGACTTTTTTGAAAGCCAAATGAATGGGAAAGACGAATGAAAAGATGGTGAACTAGGAACTTTCAGGGAAGAAAAAAATGAAGCTAGGCAAAAATAAACAAAAGGAAAAAAGCCAAAAAAAAAAAAAAAGTACTTCAAAGGAGGATCTAATTTAGCTGACGTTTGAAGTGAAAAAGCTGACTCTGGTTCCACACGCCACATGGATTAATGGTGGAAGGGACGGCCGGTTTCTGCCCCCTTCAGCCTCCTCAGTGTCTTATGCTGATCTGAGCCCAGTTTCATGTCTTCGAATGTCTTCTAATGTGCTTCATGATTTAAATAAAAAAAAAAGAGTTTGGTAGCTGTTTGACCATTATTAACTGTGATTCGCATGCACCTTCCTGATCCAGCCATGAGAATGATTTCAATATGTTCTTTTGTCAAAGGCTATCTTAAAAAAAGAAATAATAATAATATAAACTAAGTATGAAAAATTTTGGAAGACATTTTACCAAGTTAATTTCCTCTATGTTTGGAGACTTTTGTGATACCCTGTGTGTTTTATTTATATATATATATATATATATATATATATATATATATATATATATATATATATATATATATATATATATATATATATATATATATATATTGTGTGTGTGTGTATATATATATAGTATGTATGTGTATATATATATATATGTGTATATGTATGTATATGTATATTTATATACATATACACTGCCCTCCAAAAGTTTGGAAACGCCTGAACAAAATAGGGTTTTTGGGCAATATCAGCATAAATCCTCTTTAGTTAGTGACCATTTTGCATTGATAATAAGGGACAACACTAGGCATCCGAGCAGTCAGTTTATTCAAACATTGACTTGATATATTACTCCAAGCCTCCTGGAGGATTGCCCAAA